ACCTCCCGGACTTCAGTGACCTTCTCGCTGCGTGCCCATCTTCCCCTGGGGCGTCGCGGCTGCCGGCCCGGTAGCCGTCGTGTGCACGCGAGGATGCCCGCCGTAAAAACAGCGTGCAGGTGAGGAAGCTGGCCTCCGAAAAAACAGTTTGCAGAACCCTGGTGCCGGGACCCCCCTTAATTGCGACAGAGACGCTGCGGAAAAAGGTGCGAAGAACAAAAATAAGGCGAACCGGAAAAAGGCGCGGGGGAAAAACAAACTCTGACCCAAGGCTGCCAAGCCATCCGTGCCTTTGGTCCCGAAACCAGATACGCCCAGAGAGCGTGGCCGCAAAAGAGACCGCAAGCTAGCCGGAAAACACCCGCTCCCCAACGAAGAGGCAAATCCAAAGGGCCTCCAAGACGCCCAAGCCAAAGGCAGATTCGAGGGCTGTGAAATTTGCAAGTCGCGCATGTTTGTGCCAACTGCCCGCCATGGACCGCAGCAAATTCACCTCTTCAACACAGCCGCGCAGACTGGCCTTGCAACGCGCACTGGGGGACTTTTCCTGGACGGTTTTGCAGGGAGGCTTTATCCCGTTATTACAGGAGTAATCAGCCTTGGCCTTGACTTCTTTCAGCCATGCTCAAAGATGACGTGTGTGAAGCCTTGCTCAAGCTCGCCTGGTCAAGGTTGGTTGCAAAGGCAATGCTGACACTGCCTTGCGAAAAGTATTCCAGGCTCCATTTGTGACCAGGCGGACCGAAAGCCCTGCAAACCCCTCAGCACATGGACGGTGTGCCCGGCCTTTCACAATCAGAACGCTGTAGGCTGTTTGACAGCAAAGCCTTTTTGCTGCAGTCATCTCCAACGGGGGCATAGGCATTTGGGAACAGCCGCCATCAGCCATGTCGTGTATGGCAAAGGCCACCATGGCAAAAAGTTTCAAAAAACATGGGCCTTCGGCAGCAGCGCTCGCATTCGCACCTTGACTGCCCGCTGCAACCATGAGCGCAAACACCCAAGCATGCCACACACGTCCAGGGATCAAGGAAAATTTCGTTTGCAGCGGAGAATGCCGTCAGCCTTGCAGCCAGCCAGCCTTGGTTGGCCATAGTGAAGCAGGCCCCACGGTGACGCGTGGCACCATGAGGCGAGGTTGAGCAGCGAGCCAAGGTGCCCATGCCTGCCCCATCCTGCCTCTCGCGCGTTGCTCCTTTCCCAAGCAGGCGACCATGCTGGTTGCTTCTTCACTGTCCTCCCCACCACCCCCAAGTTCAGCGTCCCCCACCTGCGTGTGCCGCTCCCCTTCAGAGCGGGTGTGCTCGTGTTGGGGCGCCCTGGATGCCTTGCAGGACCATGGTGCGGCGTGCGCGCTGGTGTGTTAGGGCCGCGCAGTGTGCCCTTGGAGCGCACTGCTGCCAGGATCTGACGCGAAGCCGGAGCCCGCGTTTGAGAACGTGCTCCTGCGCGAACCTCGACGTGCCGGTGCTGGACAACCGTCCTCGGTCTCCAGGTTGCCGGCCGGTGGCGCGGAAGGGGTTGCCTTTGTGCACCTGCTCGCACGCGCAAGTCGCGCCGAGTCCCCGAACTGCTTCGTGGAGCTGCTGTGCGGGCGTATGTGCGGCGCTGGACTGCCCTTCTCGCAGTCGCCGCGCAGCGCGCGCTCGCCGCGAGCCGAGCCTGCTGCAGCTCCCGCTGTTCGGGAAGGCGTGCGTTGACGGCGCTAAGCCGCCGGTGAGCGACTTGCTCGCCGATGCCAGGTGGGCCAACGGGCCGGCGCCGAGCCGCCTTGCCGCTTGAGCCCAGGCCTGCCTGTTCGTTTCTGACCCCGTTGCTTGCGGTCGGAAAACAGTGCGCGGAAAAAAACCCTTAGTTTGCATGGTGTCGTGAGCGAAATTTATCGAAGAAGGCGCAATTCCAGGACAGCCTTATTGTGCGGATGGCGCAGAAAAAAAACATAACCAGCACTGTGAGCATGTCGGGGGGGTAAATCATCCACAAACAGGAAGGCTTTATGGAGCCGCCATGCAGGGAGTCCGTGCGCCTGGCGCAGGAGAAATGCTCCTGTGCGCCCGCAGCCTTTTGAGCACCAAGAAAGTGCCGTGCAAATGTTTAGAACAGTGCATTGGCCTAGTACTGCCCTGCAATTGCGAGCGTGGCTTGCTCCTTTGTAATTATTCAGATCTCGACAGCCTTCCAGGGCAGGGCCGCCAGCGATGTGGGAGACAGGGCCCAGCGATGTGGGAGACAGGCTGAGAGTCCTTCCCAGCCTTTGGATTAAAGCTGGATCCAAGATCCTCGAGGCAGGACACCGTGCCTTGCACTGCCTAGCAAACCGCAGTGGCGGATCCTAACAATCCACACACCACGCTCACCAAGTCCAGCCGCCAATGCCTAGACTGGCTGAGGTCATGCTTCCAGCATTCTCCTATCCGTCCTTTGGCGCAGCCGCGCCCTCTTTCATGCCTGGGAATAGGCGGATGGGCTGCTTCAGCAAAATACGTGGTTTGGTACGCGGAAGCCTGGACGATGCATGAGATCCGATCAGTATGGCCTTGCATTCCTAAACCAGCGCAGCGCTACACTGCACGTTTCGAAACACTGGCGCAACTGGTCTTGATGCAGGCCACGCAGGGCCACATTGGTCACTTGCCATGCCTTCAGGCACTGACAACGCAGCCAGCGAGGCGGGTGCACACAAGCTGTTAAGCACATCTTGGCCTTTGCAACTCTTCCGCGGCTTCAACCTATTTATGTACCTGGGAGGTGCAACGGCTTGCTAGATTCCATCATCTGCGCGCACGCAATAGCGACGTTCACTGTAGAGCAGTCAAAAAAAGGCCCTTGCCACTTTGACGCATAGCCTTGCATTTCTGTAGTGTCTTAGCCATGCAGTCTCTGTTGCAGGCGCAAACCCGCACTGAAGAGGGGGCCTGAGCGCCTGTAGCTTTTATCCGCAAACCCGGAAAAAAAAGGTGCGTGAGTGCTGAGACCGTTTTTCACTAGCGTTCGAGTGTTTTTGGGCTAGGAGGAGTGTGCCATGGTTTCTTCTTGGAACCCGCCCTCCCGCACCCTTCTTCGGGACTGATGCCCTGATGCCCTTACTGAAACCGGCCCTGACACGCTGTTTGGCCTTTTCTTGCTCGGTTGACGCGCTCGTCTTGCAACAGGCAGTAGCAATGGGGACTTCCAGCCGCGCCTGTGAGTCTCCACGATGCCCGGCAAAAACACGCTTGTTTTCTCTCACTCACGGGTGCACCCTCAGGCTCCAGGCGCACTGCGTGTGCCTGAGCTTTCATGCAAATTTGGAGAAAAATGCGTGCGTGCTGAGACCGTTTTTCACTAGGGTTCGAGGGCTTTTGGCTAGGAGCAGTGCACCAGGCCTTTAACGAGTGCGGCGCGCGCCGCCCTCGCTCCGGCGGACAGCCGCCGTCGCGTCTTTCAGTTGCCATCCAGTCGGCGGGTCGTTGCTAGGCCTTCCGCCCGCGCCGTTGGTCACTGGGGGGTTTTGCCTTTGAGTTGGCAGCCGGAATGGGCGCTGCCCGGCAGTCTTGCCGGCTTGCCATGCGGTGCACGCCGGCTTTATTAGGGTAGTCGACCACTTCAGTTCGGCTGTTGTCAAGGCGGTCGAGGGGGCGTTCAAATCGCGCACAGGGAGCGGACTCGTGCAAAGGCACGTGAAGCGCCTGCACGTGTCACTCGTTCTCATGCTCTTTGCGCACCCTGCCATGACCCCGGCGCTTTGCTTGCCGATGCAGGGGGGCCGCTTAATTGGGGGGGTTTTCGGGCCAACTGCGCCGTGCGCCCAGGGCCACGGCTGGTCGGAGCTTCCGGACTTGCGTACCTTCACTCCCAGTCAGACGGTTACGCCACCGCCCAAGTCGTCGTCTGCCAGGCATCCACTCCATTTGGTGGGTGTGGGCGCAGGCTCTCAAATCCCCTCCAGCCGCTGCAAGGCGGCGGTTTGTGGCGGGGCAGTGCTGTGTCCCGGCGGCTGCCATCTTTCGCTCGCTGCAAGCCCCCGGCCTCGCTTTTGTAGGATTTCCCCACGCGATGAGCGGGTGTCGCTTGCGCGGCGATCGGCGCTTGCTTGCCGTAGCCACACGGCACTGGGGTGGCACGTGCCTTCCGCATCCAACAAAAGTAGTGCGGCGCGACAGCATGTTCTGGCGTGTGCTGCGCCGCCTGCCTCCCATGACAGCGAATGTTCTTCACACCTACGATCGCAAGGGAGTTGTTGCTTGCCATGCCGCCATTTCCGCTCCGGCACCACTTCCGCCAGCCCACATGCATGTCGCCTTGCGCTGCGCCTTTTGCCGCTGCCGCTTGCACATGAGTCGCCGGCCTTTGGACTTCTTCGGCAACCTTTTTTTGCGACGTCACGCTGGTTTCGCCTGTGCGCAGGACTGGCCGCCCTCAACCGCGGGCGGCAGAGTGCGCCCTGAGCCCTGGCCCACAGCGCTTGGTCGTCATGGGCTGTGAGGTCGGCGAGTGCTTCCGTTCGGAGGCTGTCGACCTCGTTCCCCGCTTGGTGCAAGTTTTGGTCGCTCCGCACAGCGCTGCGCCTGCCGTTGCGCAGCGACGGTGGGGCCTCCTGCCCTCCAGCACGCTGCCGTGTCCGCCTTGGGCGGCGCTTGGCTGTTGTCCATGCGGGCTGCGGATGGGCGGGCCTTGGCGACCTCCTGCCTCAAGGTTCGTGTGAGTTTGACCCTTTGCGGAGATCGGCGTGCCCCCAACACGGCAGAGCGGCTAGGGGCATGCCGGGCGTTGTCGCGGCCGGCGTTGTCGCGGCCGGCCGAAGCAGAAGCTTGTTTTTTCCCGACGCATGTTTGAATTAAATCGAAGATTGTGTCTCGTTGGCTTGTTGTCATGTGGTACCAGCGCCAATGCCAAAAGAACTTGCCGTCCAACCACATGGTTTGACATGTTCAAATCAGGTTACAGCCGTGCAACATTTGGCATTCGAAGCAGAAAGGCAGCAACAACAAGAAGTCTGAACACGGATCTGACCTCAGGCATAGCCTCGCTTGAGCCCCGCTCGGCCTGAAGCTACGATGGTAGTGGCTTGTCACTGCTGTCGGCCTTACAGTCCCTTGGCATCAACTTCAGCCATCTTCTGTTTGGGAGCTTTTTGAAGTTTTTCCGAGTTATCTTCACTCAAAGGCTCATGCCGCTGATTTCGAATGTACTTTAGCTGTTGTGATGCCGGCTTGAACAGAGGTGATGTGGCCCATGGGCGTGCTCGCGTTCGCCACCTGCTTCTTGGCATTCCTGAAGCAACGGTTCCTGCATGGAAACAAGCACCAGAATGATCATCAACTTGCCGGATGTTGGGATACTTCGACCCCAGATGTTGGCTCGGCCCGCCAGCCAGTGAAAACTCCCATGAGCAAGTTGCAGCCTGCCTGGCGCCGGTCGCCCTTAGGCGGCAGGGCTTGGCACCCAGTGGAGGACGTTCTGGGCACCTGGACAGTGACGCCAGAGGTTGGCAAAGGACACGGGCCACGTCGAAACGTCTGTGTGTTCAGGGTCGCTCGTTGTGATATCGAGGGGGTCTCTCCCTTAAAGCGATACGGGAGAGAAAACTGATTGTCTACAACCGATGTGCAGACGTGCCAGAAAGGTTTGAGATAGTTCTTTTCATGGGGTCCAAGTCAGAAAAGGCTGCCTGGCTGGCTCTTTTTGCCTTTTCACCTAGCTCCCCAGTAGGAAGTTGCAGGAAGACGCGTTCTGCCCTTGCAGGAGTCCCCGACGGCCCACTGTTAGGCAGGCGACGCATGAACGTTCCCGATGCAGACGCAATGATACCCGCCCGGAATCTTGTCTTAAAGCCATTGACGGCCATCAACACGAGAAGGCACCAGGGCGTTGGTGAGTTTGAGCCATGGACACCAAAAGAAACCACCCGCACCATTTGTTGGGCTCAGTGAAAGCGAGACATGCTCGGTGGCTACAGCGCTGAATCGGTTCAATTGGTTTGCGGAACGCTTGCAGGCAACGGTAGGCTCGGCGCCGCCATCACCTGGCAAGGAAAAGCTGCTGTGAGCCTCGGCGAATCCGGTCCGCTGTCCAGTCATTTGGATCACCTGCTAATTGTTTCAGGCCCCTCACTTGCACAACCTGAACATTTCAGGCCTTTGACCTGCTTTCCTTGGGCCTTTGCTCTGAAGCTTGGCTTGTTGCTTTGCCGCATGCTTCTTCCAGCTGGCCTAAGGATCGATCTGCACCTCGGCCATAACGGCTTCTTTGCAGCGCCGGTGGCTGGGGCGAGCAGCTGTGGATACTCCCCCGGGGGCCGCAAGGCGGGAGGATCAGTTGTGCGCCTTTCGGAACACCAGCTTGGGGCAGCAAGGTGACGGCCCTAAACTAACGGCCTCAGGCTTTGAGTGTCGGCTGAGTTGTTTGCCTCGCGTGACTTGGTGCAAGCCATTTTGGCTTTGAAGCTCGTCACGCGAAAAAGAAAAAGGAGGATTGCAACAGTTTACACACCTTGAAAAAGGGAGAGACCGACCTTCGGCCTGGTAAAGCGGCTTGCGCTGGCCATGCGCGGGAACTTCTTTTTCGGCGCCATCCTGGCGCATTGGGTGCTTGTTCCTCAGTAAGTGTCTCTTTAGAGGTAGTGGTAGGAATCTTCATGTCTCAATTTGCTTTGCGCATGAGCTGTTGGTTTCAGAGAGCTTTGCGGAGGAGTTTGAATGGTTTAGTTTAGCATTGCGCCTTTCGAGATTCATGAGTTCTTGCAAATTGCTGTTTGTCATCACGGAGTCGCCCGAGGTTGACAGCTGGGTTTGTCTGTCCTGGCAACACCACAGCTGACGAGATCTTGCAAGGAGCCAATCACATCTGCTCGCTTCAAACAAAACCTGGAGTTGCACACTGCTTCAAGTCGCAGGACAGGACCTCTCCGGAAAGTTGGCCCTGGTCACGGGGGGCGACAGCGGCTTGGGCTTCGCCACCGCGCTGGCCCTGGCGAAGCGCGGCGCACAGGCGCCCGGAGGGCTGGGGTGAGGGCTTCCTTGCCGGATTCCTGCATTCTGCTGCTGTCGGGGAGTCTGCAATACTGACATGACTCATAGTGAATGTGTGCGTGGCTTAGAGCCACCGGGCAAGTCGGTGACCAATGCAACTTTTGCCGTTTGGAGGGCTCCCGAATTTTGCGTCTGCCGTTTGGTGAGCGCCTGTCGAGATAGTCATCGGCAACCACAACCAGACACATGGCGAGATCGCGGCCAAGAACATTTCGCAGCTCACAGGAGCCACCGCGGACCCTTGGCAGCAACAGCCTAACAGCTGGGTGAAAGGGAGGCATCATATCTTCAGCGTTGAGGCACGCCCAAAGGAATGTTCCCTATCTATTTCTGCAAGCTCCTCAGGCTAAACACGATATCCTCCCAACAGGAAGCCAACGGTGGGGGGGGGGGGGTAATCGTCTATTCTTCCACCCATTTCGCACCCACAACAGTTTGGCAGCTTTGCATATTCGTGACTGACATGGAAGCTTATCATCGATGTGCCATGTGGGAGACAGCCTCTTCTTTTGGGTGCCAAAACAACTATGAGTTGTCCCCTCAAATGGGGGTAACCCGCTATAAAACCTGAAAGCGCTGGGTTGTTCACAGGAAGCGCTGCCTTTGAACTTGGGCTCCCTGGCTTCGGTTCGGAGCTTCGTGGAGATGTTCTACCAAAAGCACCCCAACGGATTGCACTTCCTGATCAACGACGCGGGTATAGGCACGGTTCAGGGTCTGTGCGGATTTTTCCGCTTGGGGGGGCGGCTAAATGGGTGGTGGCATTTCATGACCAAGATGTTCGCCAAGTCAAAAGGGCAGGTTGCCGGCAGATTGATCATCGAAAGATGGAAGGGGAAGGGCATACCCCAATAAAGTGCCCTTCGCAATATATGTTTTCCCTAGTGTGTACGAGGGGGTGCCCCACGTTTTTCCCAGTTCTGATGGAGACCATGTGCTTCCCTTGGAGGCCCACTTGAAGGCTGAGGATTGCAAGACCTGCGCTCATTGACAGGCGGGCCCAGCGTCATGACCAAGGATGGCTTCGAGCTTGTTTTCGAGGTGCGGGTATTTGGACATTTGCTTCTGGGTCATGGAGATGGGGCAGCCTTTGCCGTGGCCATACAGATTGATATCACCTTGCAGCAGGAGGAGTGGGTATAAATTCAAGAAGGGGCTCCCAAGCGCTCAACCCCCTAAGCTCCCAGCACAAATTCTTCGCACAGAGACGTCCAAGTGTCGAAGTTCCCGTCGTTTGAAAAGAGCGGCACTGCCAACAATCAATGACAAGCACACCCGCCACCCAACAACCCTCAGCCCCAAGTACCTAGCAGACGACCAATCTTCCAAGCTGAGCACCTCCCCACATTCACACACAGCGTTCACACACCACAGTCACACACCACACAAGCAATGACCACACGTGCGCCAGGTATACTTACACACCCTTCACTGCCAGCTGAGTTGCCACAATCGAGCACACCATCCCGCGAACGAAACACAACTGAGCAATCGCCACAGCCACAGGCATTGAGGCTCAGAGGCAGAGGCGTATTGAGGCTCCGAGGCGCGTAGAGTCTTAGAGACGCAAGGAGGCTTTGAGCCCAGAGCATAGCTTGATTGTTAGAGCCACCCAGAGGCACATAGAAGCCTTTAAAGGCACAGGCCTTGCCTGCTTGGGTTCCAGTGGGGGCATGCGCCTTCGACGGCAGGTGGACTACTTGGGTCCCTTCCTGCTCACTGAGCTGCTGTTGCCGGCCCTGCGGCGCGGACGGCCGTCCCGGGTTCCTTGGCCGAAGCTCGGAGCTCGGAAGCTCGGAAGCTTGGTGTGGGCCGATGGGAGGAGATTGGCACGGCGAAAACAAGAGGGAGATTGAAGCGAGCATACTTTTGGAGTCCTCCACGCCTGTAAGTGGAAAAGGGAGGGAGAGGGAGAGAGAGGGAGAGTGAGGGAGAGTGAGCAAAAACAAGCAGGCAAACAAACAAACTGGGCGTGATGATGATGAATTGCAGGTTCAGCGAGGCCCCCATGAAAAACATCGTCCAGCTAATTGAAGTGCGTGCACTTCCTCCAGATCAGACTGTTCAAGCTCTCTTGAACAAAGTCTGACAAACCACCTCTCGCAGAACTAAGCTTGCCAGCAAGGCTCCTGCAACAGTCAGCCACACGCCGCCCCACTCTCCGCCAGGTTGTGAACGTGGCCAGCGGCTCCCATGAAACCGCCTGTGAATCGGCGGGCTGGCCCGCCGATTGCTTCAAGGACTTCACGCCTCTCGGTGGGAGCTCGAGTGGAGGGGGCAGATTGGCCAGGTGAGCCACAAGCAAAACCCGGGTAGATGAAGCTTAGTAAGGGACAACACGGGTAGATGAAGGATGAAGGTAGACCATTTTAAAGCCAGGGTTTGATTATGACTCAGGTGAGGTTGTGGCGGCTCTTGCTTCCTTGGATATGTTCTGTTGCCTGTGTTCGCTCGACGGGCTTGAGGTATCTTCCACCGCCTGTGGTGCCCAAGAAGACGGTGACGGTGCACACCAAGAAAGGCAGGAGACGGCTGAAGACCCAAAGAGCTGTGAAACACAAACATAAGGTGGGGGCGTCAGAATGGCCGAATGGCCCATGTGTGCGACTTTTCTCACGGATTGGTGAAAGAGAGAAGACGCATATGGATCTCTCTTGCCAACGCTTCGACTCTTTCATCGTTGCCTATCGCCTATCATTCTCTTCGTTCATTCTGGAGAGTTCAAGAGTCTCCAGTCATCTCTATCTCTTCCATCTCTATGTCTCATCATCCCTTCTCTCACCTCTCAATCACATTCTAGATGCAGAGGTAAAAGAGATGTGATGAGAGACAAAGAAATTACCATTACTCACCGTTCTTTGCCTCTCACCAGCCAAGAAGCGAGATGGCTAAGAGAAGGAAAGAGTGAAGAGTGACGATGGACTGAGAGCGGATGGGGTTTCCTGGTGCTGCCTAGCATTGGAGGAGATTCCCTCGATTTCTAGTTCTCTCTCATCCCACTCTCATCTCCCTCTCCAGACTTTTTTTTTTGGCGGGGAATTGCAAGATGTGTAAAATGTAGAGATAGAACTGGAAGGACATGAACGACGCTGACTGGAGATGCTCCCTCATCCCATCCACTCTCTCACCAAAGGTTGACCGTATACTCGCATAATATTTCCCTGAACCGCCAGTCAAGGATCCAATTTCCTTCTTATCGGCGCCTGGGATTGCACCGCCACGGCAAGATATCATCTGACATGTCCCAATTGTAACAGGGTTTGCCTAGGGCTGTTGGCCGCCAGGCGCATGGACTCCAGTTTCACAAAGCAGTCGAAGCGCTGGCTTCGTCGGCGCGACTCGACTCGGCGGCAGGTGCCGAGACGCAGAACTCCTCCAGCTACGGCGTGGGGAAGTGGCTGAACATCCAGCACGCTGCGGCGCTGGCAGAGAGGGAGGCCGGCAACGGAGTGGAGGCTGGGGACCCCAGAGCTTGAGTGCATGTTCAGGAGCATGGGTTTCTAGAGGTGTAAACGTGGCATGCAACCTCACGCCTTCCAAAGACGGGGGTGCTGGGCTGGCGGTTGTTCAAGAGGCTTGTAAGAAGGAGTGCTTTCATCATCATGACGTCTGGAGGCTTGCTCCCTGACACCTGGCTTCACCCTGACCTCAATGACTGGTGGCGTCGGCCCAGACTCTCCGCTATTCAAGGCGGGAGCGGACGCAGGCGTCAAAACTTGCTTCCTTTCTCGCCCGCCATGTGTTCAGCTGGACATGTCACTTTGACCACCCACCCGGAAATGCATGAGGGATGTGCACCCGTCAGGAGATTTGTGCAGCACAGATGCACCCAGACCCAAGCATTCCGGCCAATGGCTGTCCCTTTTCCGTGGACGAAGGCGGGCAGGCAGACGTGCGTTTTACGTGGGCACCCCTCAAAACATGTTTGGCGGGCACAAAGCCTCATAGAACTTCTGTCCTGCCAAGAGCTTGGGGGCTCGAAACGGCCAAGCCGCATTTTTGGTGGCCTCTGCCAAAACATCCACGAATCAGCACCCCAGTCACCAGGGTTCCTTGTCCCTTACCTGTCCAGTTGATTCCTCACAAACACGAACAACCACGAGCTGTATCTCTCAGAGAAAGCTTACCGATCGAACAGCAAGCCCTTCATTGCTTTGGGCGCCCCCCCGCGCCAGGTGCCGCCGTCATTGCCTTTGCTGCAACGGGGGCCATCAGGACTTTGGCCGAAGTTCGCCCAGCGGTCGAAGCATCTGAGCTTGAATTTGGCGAGGAGGCCCATGGTCAATTTGGAAAGGAACAGATGAGCCTCTAAACTGGGGGTATTTTTTCTGGTTAAAACAACCTTCAGGAGTCCTCATGGAGAATATCGCTGCGTATCCCGCAGTCGATGGTTAATGCGGGAGGGACTCTCTCAGTTTCCTACAGAAACCAGGGCACACTCATTTCCGATGTCCCTCGTGGTGCCATGGCTTCCGGGTTCTAATGTGCCAGGACAGGGGCATACTATTCCCGAGTGTGGGCATGTCCGGCCCCCGGAACCTCGGTTTCATGCCGGAAAGCTGCGACTTGCGACTGATGTTTGGGCTCCAAAAAATCAAGCAACCCCCCCCCCCCCAACATCCTAGATGCGCAGTGGGCAGTGGAGTTCCCACTTCGTTGCCAGAGAGCAAGTTTCTGCCGTGCCAGGCGAGGAAGTCCCAGTAGCGATGCAGGGGTTTACGCCTCCCATGCGGCAGCAGCTGTACCAAAAGTCCTGGCCTGGGTGCAGCCCAGCCTGGTGGTGTGAGCGTTCGGCATTCGAGGGTGCCTCGTTGCGGCCGGAAAAAGGGCGCGCTGAACTTGTGCATCTTTCTTTTGCTAAATCCCCTTTTGGTTGGTTCGAAGGGGAGCCAAACAGGAATCCAGCAATGAGATAAACACTTGTCGGCTTCTGGGCGAGGTGAGCTCTAAAATCGATGCAAAGCCGATGTGACAGGCGCTGGCGGGGTTGACGCTGTCGCGGCTTGGCTAAGAATTTGATGGGGCGCGAACCCCTCCACCCTCCATCCCGCTAAGCCGCTAACACAGAACTAGGCCAAGGCGGCTTGCTTTCCCATCAGAGGGAATTGTGGCTCAGGCTGCCCGCAGGGAGCAGCTTCTTGAGCAAATCAATTGCCGCGTTCCCTGCGGATCCTGAGCTCCATGGATATTCATGTTGCATGTTGCACACTGGGTGCAACCTCAGTGGACACAGGCTAGCTTGTGCCGAATAAACCCTTGGTCCTTGTTCTTTGTCGATGCTTCTCTTAACGTGTAGTCCACTACGGACTGCTCCGTGCTTTTCTCTGGCACAGGCTGCCTGGTCAAGTCGTTTCTGCCGAGCAGAGACCTGCCAACGCCACGGCGCATGTGCACGTGGCTGCCGGGAAGCTTGGCTGGAAAGTCTCGGACCTCGGAGAGGGCAGCACCTTGGAGGTTTGGATCCGGTTGAGGGGCTGGTCTCCCTTGAAACCACCAGGAGGGTGAGTTTGAGGAGGTCGCTTGAAAGGATCCATGGTATGGCGAAACCCGCCTGGGTTGGGCTATCAGCACCTTGAAGTGGTGGCGCCCACCAGGAGGGGAGATGGTGTTTCCAGATTTCGAGGGCGGGTGGTTCTTGTGTCTTCTGCGGAAGTATCCGGTTTTGTCGACATTTCTTTGAGACACAGACAGAGACAGGGACAGAGACAGAGACAGAGACAGGGACAGAGACATAGACAGAGACAGAGACAGACAGAGAGACAGACAGACAGACAGACAGACAGACAGACAGACAGACAGAGAGACAGAGAGACAGAGAGACAGAGAGACAGAGACAGAGAGACAGAGAGACAGAGACAGAGAGACAGAGAGACAGAGAGACAGAGAGACAGAGAGACAGAGAGACAGAGAGACAGAGAGACAGAGAGACAGAGAGACAGAGAGACAGAGAGACAGAGAGACAGAGAGACAGAGAGACAGAGAGACAGAGAGACAGAGAGACAGAGAGACAGAGAGACAGAGAGACAGAGAGACAGAGAGACAGAGAGACAGAGAGACAGAGAGACAGAGAGACAGAGAGACAGAGAGACAGAGAGACAGAGAGACAGAGAGACAGAGAGACAGAGAGACAGAGAGACAGAGAGACAGAGAGACAGAGAGACAGAGAGACAGAGAGACAGAGAGACAGAGAGACAGAGAGACAGAGAGACAGAGAGACAGAGAGACAGAGAGACAGAGAGACAGAGAGACAGAGAGACAGAGAGACAGAGAGACAGAGAGACAGAGAGACAGAGAGACAGAGAGACAGAGAGACAGAGAGACAGAGAGACAGAGAGACAGAGAGACAGAGAGACAGAGAGACAGAGAGACAGAGAGACAGAGAGACAGAGAGACAGAGAGACAGACAGACAGAGACAGACAGAGAGACAGACAGACAGACAGACAGACAGACAGACAGACAGACAGACAGACAGACAGACAGACAGACAGACAGACAGACAGACAGACAGACAGACAGACAGACAGACAGACAGAGAGACAGACAGACAGACAGACACATGCATACATGTTCCAGGCCTGCAGCACTCCCCCTCACCCCCCGCCCCTGTGTGGGTGTGGTTCTTGGCCATTGGACGAACGCTGCCTTTTTCAGTCAGGGTCTAGGGCTGCTTGAATGGTTTTGGGGCACCTTAATGGCACACCATCTCATTCGCAACAGGCAGCAAGGTCATTTGGGAGATGAACCGGACGCAACAAGTCTGCCACAATTCATATGTTTGCTGAGTACGCCATCAGCAGAGGCGGCAGGAACGCAAGTTTATGTAATTCGGCCAAGAACCATGCCGGTTTCGAATTGGGTGCAGGGGCCCCTTCAACGAAGGCACAGCGCATTTTTTTTTCAGAACAAAAGGGCTCTTGCCATTGTCCTTCCTGGATGACACGGGGGGGGGGGGGGGGGGGGGGGAGGTCGGGGGCCCCGGACCGGGATACGTTCATACAGACAGAGAGACATATACACACACACATATATATATGTATACACATATATATATATTTATGTATATATATAATACACCTACACATGAATGCATGCATGCACTCATGGATATGTATAGACGTCTTATGTTGCAGCCATGTTCATGTTCATGCACACACATCTAACGCAACTTGGCCATGCCTTAGGACTTCACACTGGTCGCTGAGCCGTGGCCCAAGGTTCAGACAGCCTACAGCTTTGAAGGAAACTGCGTCAACCCATGCTTTCCTTTTGCATTAGTTAAAAGTCCGGAACTCCCAAAGGCGCATGTAGCATCGAAGTAGCGGCTTTCTACCTTTCTTCCTTGACGTCAGACGGAAACTGTCCAGCAGAAAGCGACTGGCCGGCTTTGACAAAGCATGAGTTGCCCTGGACAAACATGCAAGCCTGGAAAGTAGTTCTTGCATTGCGTGTCGAACTGGCCACTTTCGGGTTTTCGGTTCAGCCGGTGCAAATGCGTGGTACAGCTTCGATTCACCAGCGCGCCTCAGGCGGCGCACCAACGAGTGCAACCGAGATGAACGCAAAGCAAAACATTTTCTTTTCCATGCACCACTAGTTCACTTGCATGCGTGCACAAGTGTGTGAAGTTTGTGAATTCATCCATCCAATTTTGCGAGCCAGTAGGTTGCAAGTCGCAGGTGCCTGGGTTCATGCCCTGGAAGACGTGCTGGTGGTGGAGTTGGAAGGGCCTGCGGCAGAGGCCTTGGGTGGGCTGTGGAAGGCGTAGCCTTCTCGGGAATTTCCACTTATATAATGGTTACGCCTCCAAAGCCCACTCAGCGCGAGTGTGGGCCTCTCCTTTCAAGTGCCAAGGTCATCAGGATGGGACTGCAAAGAGGGGCCACATGTCACATGTTTCGCTTGTTTTTGTTTGCTTTCGCGTGGAGGTGCAAGTGACGCTCTGGACTTTCTCGGGCTGCAACGGGCCTCCAAGGCCGCCAGTGTCGCCCAGCACCAAGGAGGAAGTGGCTGGTGGGGGGCTCGCTGATTCCAGTCCAATCCCATGGAGATGCTTCACTTTTGGTTGAGTTCGCTTCATCAATCCGGGGTCAACAGGAGGACAGGTTGGATTCCTTGGAGGAATCAAAGGCTTGGTATGTTATTTTGTCAGAGCCTGATTCAAGTTACTGCCTGCCCTGCAGGATGGAAAGCCCGTGACAAAGACCACAGGCCCGCTGTCCAATTTTGCCTTGGATCAAGGTTTAACCTCCAGCAGACGAAATCGGTCGCACGAGTCAGTCTAGCTGGTGCAGTGCAAGGTGTAGGATTAATTCTGCTGATGTTGCCCCAAGGTGACATACTTAGCACAACTCCGTTTGCAATGTGTTTAGGCTTAGCGCACCTTGTGCCCTTTCCTTTTTTGCCCCCTTTCCTTTCTAGACTTCCCCCACCTTTTCTTTCTTTTCGCCTCCGTTTCCAAAATGTTCCCCCAAAACACCAAACAAACCCGTGCTTGCAAGTTCCTTCTTTGGGCTGTCAACCTTTGGCCCGCTGCGCATCCCTTGCCAGGCGCCACCAGCGACCGGCTGCCGTCTCAGGTCACCGCGTGGCGGCACTTCCTGCGGGCGGCCCGGGGGAACGGCTGGCCCTTCCAGGCTGGGGCCCGGTCGAGGCTTCGGGGAAGTTGAGGTCGAGGGGCCCCGGTTGAAGCGGAACCTTTGGTTTTGTTTTTTGTGTAGGGCCCGTTTGGAAAAGTGAAGGATCCCGAGTCTTTAGTTGGGACTTTGAACATTTCATGAGCCGGATCATCATGAAACTAACCCTGGCTCGCCAAGACAATACCATGTGAAGGGTTCTGCAACAAGCGCTGGAAATGGGAAGGGAGGTGGTTATGGCCCCCGTTGTGCCCATACGTTGATTCTTGGTGGTGATGCAATCCTGCAGGTCGCTACGGGCCTTTTTTTCCTCTCCCCTCTCTGGGCCAAGGGTTGCAAGGCCTCAAAGGCCATCCTCCCTAGCGTCCCAAGACCCACAGCTGCTGCCTTGCGCACCTTTGAAGGCACCTCACTTCCCGGTACGGTGGCAACTTGTCGGAAGACTGGGACATCCGCCGCTTCCGATTTGTTGCTCATTGCAGACAAGTGAAGCGTTTGCTTCTAGTTACTGAGAGGGGCTTGCGACTGAAGGAAGACCAAACAAGGGTGGCTTATCTTTGTGTTTTCCCTTGAATCATCTTAACATGGTACCGTATGTTGACCAGAGGGATTTATCTCGCACACACAACTCCGTGAAGACTCCTCAAGCACGCACATGCAGAGGAATCAGCAATCTGATTGCACTGGTTTGGGACCAGTTGAGGTTCGGATTCAGCGCCTCTACGGTGTCTGAGTCGGGCGCTGGCGTGTTCGAGGACGCAGAGGTGCCTGGCAAGCAACGGGGCCATTCAGACCCAAGGCCCCTTCACTTTTGGGCTGATTTAACGAACATTCCAAGGGAAGCCACCCATTTCGTGGGTTGCACGCAATTTCAAGACCGGCGCGCATTTCCCGGAGGCGATGGGGAGCTGCGGAGGTTTGCGGGGCCCCTGCGCGCGGGGCATGTGGCACACGCAGAAGCGGCTCGGCCGCACCCCGAAATCCTTGACGGAGGCAGAATTCCCGGCTTAAGTTAACTTCCACTAAACACGCCCAGAAGCAGCTGAATGTGCAAAGGCTGCAAGGGGCAGACAACCGGGCCGTGATCCGATGGAACAGTCTCAGCAATGTTGGGGTTTCACCACTGCTCTGGTGCATAATGTCCGAGCCTTGACTGCTGACATGTATGTTGCTCCACGAGGAGAAGCTGTGCAAGGAGCTTTTCGAAGGGGACAAGTCGGTTTCGTCAGCTCGTTCATGGCTGCCGGACCTGCTTTCCTTTTGGCCCGTCTATGATGCTTGGGCCCACAAGCGAATGTGAACTTGAACCTGTTTGGTGAAGCCTGAGTTGAGACGACCAAGTTCGGGGGCCTGACTCGGTTTGAGTCTTTTTCCAGTGGGCAAAATGCCCTGCGCTGCCGCAGACGAGACTTTCGATGGCACGAGGGGCCCAATCATGGCCACTCGTTTTCATCGATTCCATGCTCCTTTCGGCATTCACGCTGGCAGATGGAACAGGTGGACAACTAGCACATCGCTGACACAAATGGACCTCCAAAGATGGTTGCAATCCTTGTGGTTTGCGGTTTAGGCCAACCAAAAGAGAGTTTCCAGAAAAGACGCGTCAGTCGTGGCCCAGGCGATCTGCCCTGGTCTTGCAGCTGTCCACCTGGCCACTTGCGGCACAACCGGAGCCCTCCGGACTGCAGGGCAAGGGCGGGGATGACAGACAGGGTGTATATGGATTTCCTTTTGGTCCGTGATGTCAGGCCCTCTGGCCTCCAAAACCAATCCAAGCCAAATGGGTTACTGAGTCCATTGTCAAATGGTGTGGCCCAAGAAAGCGTGGCTTCAGTTGTTCACGTTCAGAAAGCCCCAAACCAGAGCATGTATTCGGCCTTGGCTTGTCAAGAGACGCTTTTGCAATTTGGAAGATCAGACTAGTGAGATGATGAAAAGAGCTGGTGTTTGTTGGGATGTTTCTCTTTGCTGGAGCCTCTTCTTCACCTTCATTCCTAGCCCCCCTGCGAAGAGCGGCCAAGCTTGTGGTTGCTGAGATGGAGGAACGCAGTCTTTGCCCTGACCGCTTGGTGGCCCTAAGTGTTGAATGTTGTTCCTAGAAATGGTTCAAGGCACACTGCCGGATGGAGAATCTCCCACCCATGTGTTCTGCGGGACCTAGTGTATGCAGCTGCTTTGGGGAGGGTGGCTTTAGAGGGGACATATCATGCATGAAAACACCGTTGCAAAGGAGATTCAATCGGGGTTTCCGCTCTTCCCATTTTCGACACGCCCGAATCAAACGAGAGATTCAGTTTTGAGACTGGAGCCGCCGCCTTGGGAGGTTTGCGGCCCCGTAGCTCGGCTGCAGCTGCGGCACGGGAGGAGAGGGGCATGTCGACTTGTGGCCAGTGCGTGTGTGCTGCAGGAAAATGGGAAGTCATGTGCCACAAGGGCGCCACTTGCACATGCGGCATATCTTTTCTATTTGTACATATGTGTCCATAGGCATATCTATGTATTCACCACGAGTATGACACATTTCTACATCTATATGCATATTACATATTGTTATATAACATTCATGCCATCTTGATGTAGCCCATGGTTTGGGCATTTGGGCATGTCTCGCCCAGCCTGCTGTTTTTGATTCTGGGTGCTGGTTGATTTTGTGCCCCTTGCACTCAGGAAGCCACTGCCCCAGCTCCGTGCTGGGTCCCGAGCTTGTGGCTCCTTCTTCTACTTGTTTTAGTTTTTTGAGGGTGTGTGTGCGCGGGATACTTGGTTTCTTTGGGTTTTTTTGGAGTTGTTTAAGGAATCGCAGCTGTTGGAAAAAAGGGCAACGCACTGAAAGAGTTACTTGCCCTGTTCGCGATATGTTCCTCCCAGATGCTCGTTGTCCTTGACTTCGTTTTGAAGCACCAGGTTATTTTGGGTAAACACATCCTTTGCAGCAACAGCCGGCACCACACCCAAGCAACACGTCGCAGAACAGAATATAGATTCATAGATGTCTCAATCATTTCTGGGGCTTCTTCGGTCCTTAGGTTTTGGCCGACTCCGGAGACGGGGAAGCCAGGGATCAATGAACTCATGGATTGAGCGGGGGTAAGTCAGAGGGAATGAGCGACTCAGGCCTCGCACCTGGTCTCCTGGGCGGACTTCTGGGCTCGGCGACTCGGACGAATCCAGCGAGATGGCGTTGTTTATCCCAGGTCACTAGAGAGATCAAGTGCTTACGGCTTTTGTCCATTTCCATGTATTATTTTGTTTACGCCATAGCTATATATATATATATACATATTGTAGCTATTTTGTTTGTTTGTTTGTTTGTTTGGTTGGTTGGTTAGATATTTCTTGATTTGAATTGCTTTGTTTGTTTGATTGCTTGCTTGGTTGGCTGGTCGGTTGGTTGGTTGACTGACTGGACTGGATTGGATTGGATCGGATTGGATTGGACTGGTCGGTTAGGGGTCGACGGATGGATGGATGGATGGGTGGCTGGATGAATTGATTGATTGCTGAGTGATTGATTGATGGATTTGATTTGATTTGATTTGATTTGCTTTGATCTGATTTGATTTGATTTGATTTGATTGATTGATGGCTTGGCTTGGCTTGGATTGGATTGGCTTGGATTGGATTAGATTGGAATTGTTTTGATTTTATTGATTGATTTGTTGCTTGCTTGCTTGATTGCTTGCTTGCTTGATTTGATTGATTGCCTGATTGATTGATTTGATTGATTGATTGATTGATTGATTGATTGATTGCTTGCTTGATGGATGGATGGATGGATTGGATTGGATTGGATTGGATTGGATTGGATTGGATTGGATTGGATTGGATTGGACTCTGATTTGATTTGACTTGATTTGATTTGATTGATTCGATTTGATTGATTGATCTGTTGGTTGACGGATTTGTTTGATCTATTCTTTCCTTTGTTTAGTCATTTGAGGGTCCGCCCTTATCCCTACACCTTCCCTGGCCACTACAAGCCCGCAAGCTCCACGAAATCAAAAGGTCTCTAAGGCAAAAAGGTTATTACAGCTTCCCAGGTGTCCTTTGGTAGGTGATTTGGGGAGTGAGATGTTGGACGTTGGCTCTTGGCATGTGCCTCTGGCCGCAAAGGGGACCCTGTGCTACTGTACTTAGGAGATTATGGTGAAGTGGGGGATTACCGTCAAGTGGGACCGCCTACTCGAACTGCTAGTAAGCAACACGGTTGTTTGCGCGTTTGTGCAGATGCGTTTACTCTGCTTTGACGCAAGTGTGCGTCGCCGCCACTGTTTGACGTGTCATGCGCTGTGGGTTGAGGGTATTCAAGCCTTTTGGGCAGGGACGCTGTTTCTTGGGTTTGAAATCACGTTAGCTGCTTCAATCTTGGATTCCTCATTTTGGGTTCTCCATCAGGCGAGTGAGCAACTGGTGATTCCAAACGAACAACACCCCAACTGCATCTGGCCTTTTTTGAATTCACGCCTTTCCAATTCTCCTTCTCGGTGGCTGTTTTTTTTTTGATGCACGCCTGGGGGAAGCCTTCTCAAGGAAGCCTTGTTTAATCCCACAGAACACCAGGAGCCCTTGTTCTGACCCTGGGCGATAACTCAAGCAACAAAAGCATTGGGGTCCCGAGAATGTGATCTCAACCGTGAAAAAGAAACAACACCAGAGCCACGACACTGGAGGTCATACATTTACATCCCAGACTCTGATGTGACAATGCCGCTGGGTCGCACGATGTACTGCATGAGCGCGTGGGTGCGCCCCACTAAAAACTTCCAAAAGGGGGCCAGCTTCGCGCATTTACACAAAGTGAGGGACATTTCTCGAGAATGTCTGACGACTATTCAGGCATCAAAAACCACCCTATCGTTCTGAGAGATGGGCATGCGTCATGCGTTGCACTAGAAAACAAGAACATAGTTTCTCCTAAAACAGAGTAACACCCCCACCGAAAGAGGAAGAAGACTTGGAGTCGGCAACCGACGGCCATAATGATTTAAAGAAACAAAAATGGGAATGGAGGGGGGTGCTCGGGGGGCGTCCGGGTGCAAAGAATTCCACATGGCAAGGGGGGTTCATTCACTTCTGTCAAACACCGATCACGGGGACGACCACATTAGGCAACAGCACACCCATAATTGGGACACGATTGTGCTGACATGTCAGTGCGCCACCACTGCCCAGGCTGCAGAGAGCCTTTGTTGCGCCTAAGGTTCCACTGGTACATGAGCCAGTATTTGCTGCGCTGCTCCTCCTGGGGGGGCTCGTCCGCCCCCGGCCTCTTCGGGCCCTTTGTGGTGGATGACGAGGCGAGGGACCCCTTCTCAAAAGCTGTCCATGAACAATTCAGGACACCACCTCCAAGAGCGCGGGCCCTTTAGAGGGGTCAAGAAGACCAGTGTGGGAATGAGATGGGCTGTGAAATCAGGGAATCCTCGTCTTTAAGTGAGAACTAACCAATGCAAAAGCAAGCTGAGAATGCAGCCTCCCACATGGATGCCACAATTTAGCGGAGACCGGACATGATGATCACGTGGATATGTATTAGCATGTGTGCAGCGCCAAGTTTCCCTTTACGTTTGTCCCTCGCATTGGCTGCAGATTGCCCGTCAACATCCTTTCCTGGGGAGTGACCTGGGATGGCGCAGGTGATGTGGTCAGGCGACATGACCTTGAACTACAACGCAGAGGCGGTTGCCTTGTCACAGTTTGGCGTCTGCTTGGGTCCGTGCCACTGGGCTCCAATCATCTGCCGAAACACCTGGGTTTGGTTCCTTGCCGCTGTTTGGGGCAGGCCGTGTACTACAACGCCGGCGCTGCCAATCACTTGGAGGCTGGTCTCGCAGCCAAGCGCTCTCCGAAGAGCAGACACCTAGCTCGGTACGACAAGAGCCGCACTTGCAATCCTTTCGCCGTTGGCCGCTGGAGGGTTTGTGCCAGGCCTTTGAGCCGTACTTCCAGGCCATTCTGGACTTTCTGCCAGCCGCTTGGGCAATTTTTGTGAGAATTTTTCAGTCTCAGGCAAGATTCAGAGGGGAAAAACAGGTATTGTGCAGGTCTGGTTCTCTCAGACCAGCCGATGAGCAAGCGCGAAAGCAGTCTGCATGCGTTTTGGCATTTTGTCTTCTGGTCTGTTCTCACAGGTCGTCAATTCCGGCATTGACCTTTTGTAGGTGGTCATGTTTTTAGGGAGTTCTCAGCTATTTGCTGCGCTGGACTGTCGCTGGGTCCAGTTAGAGCTCCCCAGTGTCCAACTAAGCACAGGCATGGCTATGGGCTCACTTCTCTTCACCTCACTCAAAGCAAAGCTCAAAAGAGGCTGTTCCACCCTATCAGAACGAGCCACAAGAACTGATAGACTTGTTGGATACACAATGCACGTACACAGAGGCACAGATGCGTTTTGACCTTTGGCGGCGAGTTATTGTTGCCAGGGTTGTCAAGGGTAAGTGAAGTTGGACGTTGAAGGTAAGACGGTCCAAGTTTGTGCCCATTCTGTTGAGCTTGTTTTCAGCTCGTTTGGCTAATGCTAGAGCCACAATCAAGCTCGTGGGTGCATTTGTTGATCAGAAGCACTATCAATAGAGCAGTTTTTGGAGCACATTTCAGCATACACGACCCAACAACCTGCACTGCAGATCCAAAAAAAGCCTGTACTATGACAAGTTTGGTTACTTTTTCTTGCGTAGGTCGGTCTTAGTCTACGTGGTGGACGGTCCCAAACTATTTGTTGTTCTGCCCTTGGTTTTGCCATGGTTTTGCCATGGTTTTCGGTAGACCCCTGTCACGCCTAGTAAAAACGCTGTCCCAAATTTGTTCAACAAGCAGACCCTCCTAGGGAAATCAAAAGTATATAGTGTAAAAAAGATACGTTTACAGTTTACACCTGTAAAGCCAAGGGTGAAATGCCTAACCTTACTGGTGGGCCGGCTGCTGACTGCCTGGCTCCTTGAGGCTGCGAGGCGCTTGGCACAGGAGCTGTACCCTTCCTGTGCGGAGTCCTTGGCCTTCCCGGCCTGGCGCCCGGTGGGGAAATTTGGGTGACGCAGCTTTGGGGGTAAAACGCGCGACGAATGAGCGGTCAGCCCACACAGGTTTCTACTGGGATGGTGTGCGCGGCGGCGCGGGATGTGGCGTCGCTGTAGAAAGTGGGTTTGGGGAAACTGTGCCGAGACACATGGTAAAGCATGCCGCTCTGGTCCCCCAACCTTCTGTTGAGCCCAAACCTTGAGAGGAGTTGAAGGTTCAGGCTCCTTTTTTGATGCTTGTGGGTTGCCTCTCGTCAAGCGCCAACCGGCACATAGGCCCACATTTTGCCTGCAGGGGTGCAGCTACCTGGCGTGGGCAGGGGCGACTTGGGGCAGAAGCAGATGGGCGCCTCAGCACGCAGGGTGAGTGGTGGGGCCCGAATCCAGGCAACTTTCAGGATGTCACTCTGACACTTGATCCTTTCACTCAGCGCCCAAACCTCCGAGGTCTGTTTGCTGCGGTGCCTTTTGTTCTGCGGCTCGGACTGAAATTCGTTGTCGCGTGCCGGGGGTATCAGATGTCGGTGATGCCAGGATGCAGGGTCCCGGCCTGCTTGCAGGCCGGCCGCACAAATGACTGACCTTTCGTGGACAAATGTCCGTGCAGGTTGGGCTTTGTTCTGATTGCTGTCGTTGTTGTCACTGCTGCAGTTGCGGCTGCCGCAACTGTCGCGGCTGCCCCCACGGCTCTGAAGCTGCAGCTGCCGCTTGTGTTGCTGTTGCTGTTCTCTTGCTGGTTTGATGCCCAGCCAATTGCCAAGGTACTGGCACTATGCAGGCCGACTTGCCTTTGCCGAGCGGGTGCTTCCCTTCTTCTTGGGAGTGGCGCGTTTTTGGGCCTCTCGGCGAATAGAGCAAGAAGTCTGCAGGAAGGACAAGGTCCCAGGATTATCAATATCCCACCCCCAAAGGAAGCCTGACGTGAATGGGTACTTCTTTGAACCTCTTTTCAACAGCACGTGCTGGCCTGTTTGCTGCGGGAATGTTCTCACAGACTTGGGCTGTTTGCCAGCTTTGGCCATTGCAACTCCCTGGTTTTGCTAGAGTTTTGACTTGATCTGTATGCCCAACTGCCAATTCTCCTGTATGCCCTCGAACAGCTAGTGCCGCTACCTGCTTACACCTTGACACGCGTTCTTTTGGCAACGTGAAACCTAGGCAGGGGCAATGGCAAGCCGACAGATCGGATGCTGGGCTAGATTCCTGGGGCATGCCCAATGGCCCATTGGTTTGTTTGGCGAGTGAGGGATCCATTTCATTCCCCCCTCGTGGGCATGACCCTTCGTTGGTGGGGGTTTTCTGCCAAGGAGTGCAACCTTGCTCCCGGGGACGATGGTTTCCTTCACGACATCGAGGACTGTGCTGAGGACAGGGCCCAAAATGGGGGGCGGGGTTGGCAGGCACTCTGGCAGAGGCCCTGATGTGCAGAACGCTCTCACTCGGGTGCAACGAGGGTGGGAACGAGGCAATCGTGCACTCCATGCACCAAGCCGTTTCTTGGGAGGGGCCCAGGGGCAGATGCGGTGTGTTTCGGGATGCGGCAGTTTGACCAGGAGATCTGCCTACCCGACGGGGACATGCAGCCAGATCCCGCCGCCAGGGCCTCAAACCGGAGACATGTGTGCTGGAAGGATGTGTTGCTGGAGTTTTGGCATCGATCCCCGAGTCACGCCTGTTTCCATTGGAGCTAAAATCCTGTCAATAGATGAATGTGATGGACTTTAACCTTACGGACCTGTTGGCCTTCTTTGTTCCATTGCCGCAGGTGGTCCTCTCGCTGCTTCCGGGGTTCTTAGAGGCGTTGGCGCAGGCATCGGTCGGATCCACCGTCCAGCCGCTCCTTTTTTGAAGTTCCCATGCGAGCACGGTCATAAGCTACTTACCAAGTGGATTGGGGTGATGTATTTGACCGGCAATGTGGCCGTGGGGAAGTGAAATGCAGGGGTGCGAAACCCAGAACACTCCCACGTGGGTCCTTTGCAATGCAACTGATTCAGGAAATGTTCGCTGACAAATATGATCAGAATGCTTGGGATATGCTAAGAACACTGCAGTTGGAACGTGCCAGCGACATCCTGAAGGCTTTGGAAGGCCCAAGTCAGTCCAAGGAGCGCGGGAACGCATGGGTGGGGAAAGCCCAAGACTGCCAGTCCTCGAAATGCATGCCTTCACAGCCCCATGCAAGGCAGCGAGCTTTCATCGGGGTAAAGCTTGGTCGCTCACTCAATGATGGAGGTCCCCGATGCATACTTCGCGCAAGCTCACGAAGTTCGGACTGGAGAATCCCAGCCAAGTTATTGCCCATTGTGTAGGGACTTGACTCGACCCATCACCCTACCCGGAAAATACATGGTCAAGAGTTCCCACTGGCCGCGGCCAGTTTTGTAGTGCAATGGAATGGATAAGCAGACGGTTGACTACATCAACTCCCGGTGCAACGAGCTGTTTCGCGGCAAAGTGGAGTGTGCCTCGCTTAAAGCTGTGCACTGACAAGCTTTCAGCGATTGTCGTGGCACGATGCCTTGGGAAACCATGCTGTAGCAGAGCGGGTCAAATAGGGCCAACCATGTTGATATCCATGTTGATAAAATAGGTTGATAGGCAATAGAACCTTTGCGAACTGAATTTTGTTCCGCCTAACCAGCTAGCCGCGCGATGGGCCGTGAGTCTGAGGCGAACTTTCAGCCAGCTCCTTGGCTGAGCTTGGCGGGCAGCAAGTCTGCCTCTTTGGGCATTTCTTCGTTTCCCAGTTTTTTTCCTTGCTGGCAACTGGTTGGTCGGCAGGCAGGTTGGTTCCCTTTTAGAAAGCGAATGCAAGGCGTGGCAGGGTTGGCAGTCAAACTCAAAGCGGCAAGCGGAAACCCTAGGCATGTCGGGGCAAGGCATGCAAGGCGTTGGGGAAATGCTCGTTGCGGGCAAACAAACACCTGAAGGCAAGGGCCGAATCCTTCGCGCGAAGCGCTCGTTCCAGCAGGGCGACCTGATTTTTGAGGTGCGGTGCGGGAGGTTGTGGGTGGGAGCAGCTGAGATGCTGCAGCCGGGCTTTTCCACCAGTTGGCAGTTGCATGCAGTTTGTGTATCACCCCTCAGCCGAGCAGGAGTCGCCCTTGCACATTGTGGTGGCTGACGAGAGCAACCACGCCTTCCTGACAGTCAAGAGGGTGTGCGAAGCAAGCGAGGACTGGGAGTGGGTCCCGCGGTGCACGGCGTATTTGTTCAACGAGCTGTCGCACGGAGAAACAGATCTGGCGGACAAGCCAAGCACGCACCTACCATGGCAAGCTGGGGCTTGCACAAGCCCCATGGTACCAACCAGCTGCTCATTCGTGTTGCTTGGAAGTTCCGAGGAAGGTCATACCGACACATGCTATATGGAGCAGGTGATGCGCATGTATGCATGCGAAGTAGCAAGACCTGGAATGCATGCGCACCTCTCAGGAAGAAAAACACACAGGCATGATGATTTCTTGCTAGGTTTCCGTGCCCCATCCATTTCCCTGAAACTCTGCTTCCTCAGGATGCGGCCTACAAGCCGATTTGGTACTGGGCAGCCTTGAGTTCCCTCACTGCTGCGGAGCTGCCGCCGGCGGTGGGCGCCCTGCGCCCGGTAACGCGATTTGGCCAAAAGGGCGGCCTGGGTGGCTTGGGGATGCCAAAATCGGTCACGAGGAAGGCCTTTGTGGAAGAACTCAAGGAGGTTTGGAACACTTCGTCGTTTGTCAGGCCCTGAGTTATTGGTGGTTTCGATTGGTGGTTAGGGATGAAACCCCTTGTTCTCGTCGAAGGCATACTGGTGGTTTTGACATGCCAATGCGTTATTTTTCGTTTGAGGCCGATCCCTGGACCGGCTCCTAACTCCTTCTAGCCTTCAAGTGGTGGATGTGGGACTCAGGAAATCAGTTGAGAGGTGGCTTCGGGCGGATGTTCACTTGGCAGGGTGGAAGACCAACAATGGCTTGCGCTCCCCAAGGCCGGAACAGCAGCGGCAGTTGCTGTGCCTTTTCCATGAGCCAGTTTCTGAGGCAAGTGTCCTGGCAGACATTTGTCCTTTGCGCTGGTTTGGAGGAATTTTCTGCCCTTGTTGCTTCGAGAATTCGCTTTCCGATTGTTTCAAATGCCTTCTTTGCTATCAAAATGACGTTCCTGTGGTCACCACTCTAGGCGCCTCTTGTGACTCACGGGGGTGGTGGTTGGCCCCCCCCTTCCCCACTTTTCATCCGATTGCTGGTCAACGGAGCCGCGGGAATGATCCACAGGAGGAGTTCTGGTTCTGTGAGCCTGTGCATTGGTTTGAGGGCCGGGCTGGGAAATATCCACCACTTTGGGGGTACTGGGGTGATTAGATGCTTATGGGCGGTCCAACACTCGAGATTGTGTAGTGGGCAGGGGGTTGTGGTGTTTCTTGCGGTCGTCAAGGGTAGACCGAGCCGAGAATGTGTGTCAGGTACATCGCATGACATATATTCATATGTTTGGAACTGGGTCCCGTCCACTGCACCACCCCTGATGCCAAGTGACGATTAACGTCGCGACGTTGTGCGTGTCAGGTTCGGCGCGTTGAGCCTACTCTTGCCCTTACACTTTGTGTGCGCGCTGTGGCCATTGCTTGTACGCGCTTCCACGCTTGCGGTTGCGCTTGTGCTGGTGTTTGCGCCTACGCCTGCGCCTGCACGGGGTTTGCGCTTGGGACTTGCGCTTGCCCTTGCCCTTGCTCTTGCCCTTGCGCTTTGCACGAGAGCGCCTTTGCCATACAGGGCTGGCGCTTGCGACAGTTACACTTTCATACGCCGCATGCCCTTGACGCTCGCGCTTGGGCTCGCACTTGCCCCTTCCCCTGGCTCTTTCCCTTGTGCTTTGCGCGTGCGCTTTCGCCGAAGCTGCCGGCCTTACCACGATCGAAAAAGATATCGACCAGCAACAACCGACCTGACCCAACCGGGGAACAAAAAAAATAAAAAAAAGCATCGAGCGACTAATGGCGGAAAATGTGTCATGGACTACTCCCCAGAGGAAGTAACCCCTTTCTGGATGGTTTTCAAGGAAACCAAGCGGAAAACCCTTGAAAATTACGGGAAGTGATTTTTTGCTCCAAAGATCACTTTTCGGGCGAATGGCGGGAAGTGATTGTTTGGCTTAAAACATGACCTTTCGGGTGCTCCGAATAGCGGGAAGTGATTGTTTCGCTTAAAACACGGGAAGTGGTTGCTTGGCTTAAAAGATCAATCTTCGGCTTCTCCGAATGGCGGGAAGTGATTGTTTGGCTCAAACATGAATTTTAGGCTAAAACATGACTTTCCGGGTGCTCCGAATGGAGGGAAGTGATTCTTGACATGACGTTTCGGCTGCTCCGAATGGCGGGAAGTGATTGCTTGGCTTAAAAACATCACTTTTCGGCTGCTCCGGATGGCGGGAAGTGATTGCCTGTGTGGCTGGCATGCTGTTTCAAGCCTTCGTGGCTAGCGTGTTGTGACTCAAGCCCGTGTGGCCGGCATGCTGTATTTCAAGCCTCAGTAGCTTGCGTGTTGTGACTCAAGCCTCTGTGGCTAGCATGATGGCTTCTCAAGCTAAGCTGGTCTGGCTTGCGCTGCTCAAAATGCACCCCTGTTGTGTGTGCGCAGCTTGCCACGCAACAGGCAGACAATGGCATGCGCAAAAGTACACCTGTCAAAGGTTTCGTCTTGCCAGACGCCAGTCCTTATTCCAGCCAGTCCTTATTCCAGCCGGACTTCCACGGCGGGCCATGGCTGCCTGACATGTGTTGGTGCGCGTGGGTGCTTTTGTGCGCCAACAAGGAAGACGAGGAGTACGATGGAAGGCGGTGGAATTGGGCTGGCGTGACTCCAACATGTTGGGGGGGGGCAGGAAGAGGAGCAGCGTGAGGAGGTGATAGAACCACCCATGCCTTTGCGCTAGCCATTGCACATCGACATTCGGAGCAGCCGAAAACTGATCAAACAATCCGCAATTCTTTGGAACAGCCGAAATGTGATCTTTTAAGCCAAGCAATCACTTCCCGCCATTTGGAGCCGCCAAAAAGTGATCTTTTAAGCCAAGCAATCACTTCCCGCCATTTGGAGCAGCCGAAAAGTGATCTCCTAAGCCAAGCAATCACGTCCCGCCGTTCGGATTTTTTTTACCTAGACGCTCGTGGGCCCTCCTAGGGAGGGTCCGAGGCCCTCCTAGGGAGGGACTGGCCGGGTCGGATAGCGAGGGCCTTCGAGGGCCCGCGAGGGTCAGTGAGGGCGCGCCGGGCCCGGGGGCCCGAAACATAAGTTGGGAGCGTCTGGGTAACCAAACAATCGCTCCCCGCCATTCGGAGCAAACAAAAAGTGAAGTTTTAAGCCAAACAATCACTTCCCGCCGTTTGAAGCAGCCAAAAGTGGTTTTTTAGACAAGCAATAACTTCCCGCCATTCGGATAATCTTTTTTTAACCACACAATCACTTCCCGCCATTCAGAGCACCCGAAAAGTGATTTGTAAGCCAAGCAATCACTTCCCGCCATTCGAAGCATCCAAAAAATGATTTTTAGGCACGCAATCACTTCCCGCCATTCGGAGCAGCCGAAAAATGATTTTTTCAGCCAAGCAATCACTTCCCGCCATCTTGAACATCGAAAAAAGTGGTTTCATGAAACAATTTTGAGCTAAAACACAATTTTCCGCCATCAGGAAGAGCAATCATGAATTGTCGCCGTAAGAAGACGATGGAAATTAGTCGCCCTGGCTCATTTTTTGGTCGGTGTATATGCAATTTGCGTTGGCGCACGGATTATGTTTTTCAATCTGCTGTCCTTTCGCCGGTGCGTGCG